TTTTTTTCTACTAGTTTATTTACAAAATTCAAATACATTGTTTTTAAAAACAAATTCTTTCCATTTTTCTAGCCACACAGCCATCAAATTAAACAACCCCATGATTAATCCCCCCTCTCCCTGCACATCCTCATCCCTCTGCTTCCATCCTCTAACACCCCTCTTGTATCCTTATACTAATTCTACAATAATGGTTTTATACAATATTTATCCTTGTGGGACTGAGTTAGTTCACTCAGTATAATGCTTTCCAGTCCCTCCATCACCTCCAAAGTGAGGTAATAATTTACAAAATCATTGCTCCGGTGTGCTGCATACTATTCCATTGTGTGAATGTACCATAATTTCTCAATCTATTCGTTTGTGGTTGGACATTTTGGCTGTTTTCATGTTCTTGTGATAGTGAATAATGCTGTTATTAACACTGGTGTACAAATCTGTTTGTGCCTCAGTTCTCATTTTCTCAGAGTATATTCCAAGTAGTGGCATAGCTGGGTCATAGGGAATTTCTATGTTCAACTTTTTGAAGAAGTGTCAAACTGCCTTCCAGAATGGTTGTACCATTTTATAATCACACCAACAATGTATAGGAGTTCCTATCTCACCACATCCTCTCCAACATTTATTATTTGCTGCCCTCTTAAACTTTGACACCGTTACTGGAGTGAGATGGTACCTCATTGTGGTTTTGATTTGCATCTCTCTTATTTTCAGTGATTTGGAGTATTTCTTCATATGTTTTTTGCTATTCGAATATCTTCCTCTGTGAAAAGTCTTTCCATGTCTTGTCCATTTTGTAATTAAGTTCTCAGTCTTTTTCTTGTGGAGGCCCGGGAATAGTCTGTAAACTTTTGTTATAAAACTCTTGTTTGAGATGGTATTACCAAATGTTTGTTCCCAGTCTGTAGGTTTCTTTTCACCCTTTTGGAAAAGTTTTTGATGCACACATGGATTTAATCTTTAGAAGGTCTCATACAACAATTTTATCCTCTTTAGAGTGTGCATTTCTGATTGTATTTGGCAGTGCATTCCGTATTTTTAAAAATTCTTAGAGTTGAACTCTGAACTTTTACAACCTGATACCAACAACCTGATACACTTGCTTTGTTTTTTACACACACACACACACACACACACACACACACACATTCACAATGATATTTTATAAGCATACGGAGCTTTGGTGACCTAGTGGTAAAGAGTTGTGCTGCTAATCCAAAGGCAGGAAGTTCAAATTCTTCAGTGGCTCTGCAGGAGAAAGGTAATCACCTCTCATGTGATTTATGGCCTTTGAAAACTTGCTGGAAGATCATATATGAGTTGATTCTGACTCTACAGAACATAGCAATGGCACAACAGCTGTAAATTTCGTGTCACTTAATATAAAAAGAATTAAACCTGCAGCTGCCAAGTCAACTCTGACCCACAGCGACCCTCTCTTGGGTTTCTCAGACTGCCTATCTTTCTCCCAGCTTGTAGCTGGTGGATTCAAACTACTGACATTTCAGTTAGTAGCCCAACATGTTGGGGCCCCTTATTACTTAATCTAAAGAATAAAGATAGAGAAAAAGAAATTAGGTTTTTAAACTTATGCTTGTTGTTGTTATGTGCCATCAAGTCACCTGTAACTCATAGGGACCCTATGTATAACAGCCTTTAAACCTGCCCTGTCAGAGTCAGTCTTACTGACTCTGACACACCTACCTCCATTGCCCTAGTTACTTTATCAGTCCTTCTCATCCAGGGTCTTCTTCTCCTGAGCTGTCTTTCTTCTCTTCCTAGCATGATGTCCTTTTCCAAGGATCGGTCCTTCCTGGCCACATACTCAAAGTATGTGAGATGGAGCTTCAAAATCTTTGTCTCCAGGGAGAAACTTGTTTTCCACCCTGTCCAAGACAGAACTATTTGTTTTCTTGGCGGTCCACGGTATGTTCAAGACTCTCCCCCAGAACCACAACTCATAGGAATCAGTTCTTCTTCTGTCATCCTTAGTCATTATCCAGCTCTCTGATGCATACATAGCAAGTAATTGTGAATACCATGGACTGGATCTGGTACACCTTAGTCTCTAGACAGACATTGTTGCTTCTCGGTACTCTGGAAAGGCCCCTGATAGCACATTTACTTCATGCAATTTGCCTTTTGATTTCCTGACTGCTGGTGCCAAAATGTGGTGATTGTGGAGCCAATACTATTAATTAAAACATCATGGTACTGATGTAGCAACAGGCACATAGACCAATGGAAAAGAACTGAGAGCCCAGAAATTAACCCATTCACCTCTGGTCCACTGATCTTTGACAAGAAGATGAAATCCATTAAGTGTGGAAACAAAAGTTTCTTTAATAAGTGCTGCAGGCTGCAGAAAACTTAAGTAAGGTCCACATCTCACACCACACACTGAAAAACAACACTAAGTAGATCTGAAACCTACTCAAAATAGATCAAAGACCTAGAGATAACCCCAAAACTATAAAGATCATCAGAGACAAAATAGAAACAAATTTACAAGCCCTAGTGTATGACAGTATGACATGAACAGACTTTCAAACAGCAAAAAATGCACAACCAGAAGAGTATAAAATAGAAAAATGAGACTTTCTAAAATTAAATCTTGAGTGCATAAAAAATTCTTCAGTATGGTGAAAAGGAAGCTCACAGACCCCAGTCTGTGGCAAATATGTGACAATGGCATAACAGACAAGGGACTCATATCTAAAATGTATGGAACATTCTAGAACCTCAATAAGAAAAAAGACAAATTACATACAAGTTGGGAGATTTGAAAACACTCTATCAAAGAAGATATTTAGATGGCCAACAAAAAAAATGAATAAGGTCTCAAAATGTCTAACTGTGGTTGTGTTACTGTTAGGTGCCATTGGGCTAACAAGTACCTGTAGTGGCCTTCTCAACAAGCAATGCGAACCTTGTCCTGTCCTTCACCATCCTCACGATTTCTGTCATGGTCAAGTCCATTGTGGTGTTATTGTGTCAGTTTGTTTCACTAAA